TAAATATTATGTTTATATATTTATTTAAATATGTAAATTTGTATTAAATTTTTTTAATATTTATATGATAAATTTATTTTACACAAAAATTTTATTTAAATAAAATAAATTAATTATTATTAAATATTAAAATTTATAATTATTTATTTATTTAAAATTAAAGTTTTTAATAATTTAATAAAGAAGCTCCGAATTCAATTCTTCGAAAATCAAATTCTGATCTGCAATAGTAAAAAAATTTACTTTGATAGATAAAGGTGGAGGATTTCTTTTGATAATTTTTTTAAAAAATAATTTTCCTATAAAAAATTCTGACATTGTAAACCTCATAATTTTTTCAAACACATCTTCGATTTGGATTCCCCTGTGCCTTGTATTCTTAGATGCTTACTATTAATTTAATGAGTTTTGTTGAAACTTGGAAAAGAAACTAGGGACAGATTCAACGTTCCATTGCGTGCGCCCATTCTACTTTTCACCCATTTTGTTTGACTCTCTGTCACTGAATATAAAATGTTTGCATGCGCGTTGAAAAAAAATATTAAATAGAAAAAAAATATTAAATAGAAAAATATATATTTTTTAATATCTTAAAACAAAAATTATACAATTTTTTTCCCTTTGCTGGTTAGAATAATCATTAAATTAACGTGTTACAAGATTCAATATTTTTATCTATTAATATTGTTCCGGCCAAGGGGTGCGCTAGGGTTTCGTCTTAGGTTGAACTTCAAAGCCAGAGCATTTAAAAAGTGTAATCTGTTTTCTCAACTCTAGGGTTTTTAGTTTTATAGTTTCTTGTTTACGGGCCTCCTGGGCCCCGAGAATATAGGGATTTCCTTAACCATCTAATCTAGAAAATATTTGATGAACGTGGGGGCTATAGATAAGGTTTTTGATATCGAGGCTCTCCATGCCGACGGACCAGTCGGGTTTTCGCCGAGTAGGCTTGGTAGGCTAAAAAAAATGGGTTGGGGCCGGACTGGTTCACGCCGAGATAGGATTCGGGCATAAACCGAGTGACCTAGGGAATTGTAGTCGGTCCGCTATCAGGGAGAGGAGGAGATCTGAATTTTACCGAGAACCGAGTCGGGCGAACCGGTTGGTAGTCCATCGGGTCTGCGAGGCAAAAGGGTTAGAAAGACTGTTCCTGGGTCGTGTCAGAACTAGGCCGAGAGAACGTCTCGGTAGTTAGCCGAGACGGTACACTTGCCTTCCAGCCTTGAGCCTATTAGGTGGAAAGGCTAAAGCGACTGTTCCTGGGTCATCGTGGGACTAGGCTGAGAGTTTGTCTCGGTGATTAGTCGAGATGGTACACTTGCCTTCCAGCCTTGAGCCTATTAGGTGGAAAGGCTAAAGCGACTGTTCCTGGGTCATCGTGGGACTAGGCCGAGAGTTTGTCTCGGTGATTAGCCGAGACGGTACACTTGCCTTCCAGCCTTGAGCCTATTGGGCGGAAAGGCTAAAGCGACTGTTCCTGGGTTGCCTCGGGACCAGGCCGAGAGTACGCGTCGGCGACTAGCCGAGATGGTACCTCGGGGCCAGGCCGAGAGTACGCGTCGGTGACTAGCCGAGACGGTGCACGTTCTGACAAGACGTGTCTCTTCACCTTACTCGAGATGGGACATGCATTTATTGTAAAGCCGGCGTTGCAGAGGCGTGAATAAAGATGGTGCCACGTGGCGGCACCTGTCACGAGATGTTAAATGTTAAAACGCCCCACGCGCGTCGTGGCTCTTGGGCATACCCCCTCACGCGTGGCCCTTCGTTTCTATAAATAGAGATGTCCCCTTGTTTTTTTAAACCCTTTGCATTTTCCTCTTCACGCCTTTTCCTCCTCCGACGGTGGCTTTCTTCTCCGTTTTATTCTACGGCGGTTCGCGGTGGTTTTGTGCTTGTTCTTAGTGGGTGAAGTTGTGAGAGAAAAACCCTTAGGTACGCATATATTTATTTTGCCTTTCTAGTGGTTTTTGTTGCAAGCCTTTAAGTTATAGGTTAAAGTAAGATTATATTAGCAATGACTGTCGTGGGTTATGGGGAGATGTATAAATGGGTTAAGGATGACGCGTTAAAGTGTGAGTCTTTGATCAATTCTTGGGAAGCCATGGATAACTTTTGTAGAGACCATGTAGTCTGCCGTGATGGGAACGAGGTAGTTGTGTGTGAACCTTGTGTCGACAAGGAACCAATGTGCATTAGTTCGCCCTCGACCGAAAAATTTACATTTTGTTACACCACTCTTATTTCTAAAATTAGGGTGAGATGGCCCCTAACCGACTGTGAAAAGGGGGTACTTCGAGTTTTGGATGTTGCCCCGACCCAACTACACCCAAATAGTTGGGCTTTTGTACGAGGGTTTGAGATCTTGTGTGAGGGACTCGGAATAACCCCGACTACGGATAAGTTTTTCTACTTTTTTTAGAGTAGGGTTAGCAAACGTACTAGCTGGGTATCTGTTAGTGGGGTTTCGGGTCGGGGCTTGTTGTCCTTATTTCAATCGTCCTACAAAGATTTCAAAAAATTGTTTTTCCGAGTGCGTAGTTTACCGGGTCATGAAGATGTGTTAGAGGGGTTCCCTTTGTACTGGAACCAGAAAACGATAGCATTCGGTGGGCTAGCTCCCGAGAAGCTTTCCGAGAGCGATCGGGTCGACGTTAAGAAAATTGAAGATTTGAAAACCTTTTTCAATACGGGGAAACTCCTAGACCTAGAGAGTAGGCCTCAGGAGTTGAAAATTCACATAGGTATAATGCTGTTTTTAAGATTAGAAACTTCCTTCTTTGTTTGATGTTTTATTCTTATCATGACTTGTTTGTTTGATTGTTTTTTGCAGCAAGAATGGCTAGTATGAGCAACCGAGAAATGATGAGACTATGGAAACAACAACAAGTTTCCCAAGTTGCTGTGGTGGGTGAGTCGGCTACCGAGAAACTTGTGGAGACTGGTAGCCCAGTGGTGAAGTCGAGAACCGTTGGCGAGACCCCACAGAAACGCCGTCGCGAGACCGACAAATCCATATCGGTGGTTAACTTGGAGACGGTCGTTGCCACCGAGATGGACAAAGGCGACACTGAGATTCAATCCGCCGAGAGGACCCTGAGTGCCTGTCTCGGCGAGAATTGGGAGCCGGTGAACTACGGAGCCGACCGTAGCAATGTAGCTTCTTTCTGGGACGAGAAGTTTAACCACAGTGCCCACATTCGAAACACCGACTTGCTAGAGGGTGACCGAGACAATTTGGAGAAGATGAGTGCTTTCACTATCGCCAAGGGCGTCAAATCACTTACGAATCGCCTCTCGGCTCTTTCGTTGATTAATGAAGATAAAATTCGCGGCTTAGTGAGGGAGACTAAGTTGCAAGGAAAAAGGATTGTCTCCTTGGAGGAGGGTTTGAACAAGAGTAAGGCTGAGCTCAGGTGGGTTTCAACTGAGCGGGACAAACTGTTGGAAGGTCGTCGCGTCTTTGAGGACGAGAAACAATCTTTGGCTGCGGAGAAAGCTGCGATGGAGAAAGATCTGGAGGAGGCTCGCCTAGCGCGGGATAAGAGCGCTGATGCCGTTCAAGTTCTTGAGAATGACATGGCAAGCATGAAAGAAGAGATTGAGAAGTTGCAAACTGACCTTCATGCCGCCAAAATGGACTCGCTGAAGAAGTTCACGCAAGGCTTCGATGCTGCTACTGCTC